ATTTCTACCATTAGATCTTACAGCAAAGGTTCAGCCTTTGTTATCCAAAATTTCCAAACTAGGGGGAAAACTTGCTTCAGCTTCTTCCTTGCCTGAAGTGCACCTCTCCCAATATGTCCCTGCCCTTGAGAAGCTTGCTACCCTGAGGTTGCTTCAACAGGTAGGCAATTTTTTCTGCTTTACCTTTTTCTCTTGGAGTTTATGTCAGTTTAATTTATTTAATCCTTTTCTCTGGTCACTTGTGCTTGTCCATGATTTTTCAGGTGTCTCAGGTGTATCAGACCATGAAAGTTGAGAGTTTGTCTCAGATGATCCCATTTTTTGATTTCTCTGCTGTTGAGAAGATATCGGTTGATGCTGTGAAACATAATTTCATAGCTGTGAAACTGGACCATATGAAGCATGTTGTGCTGTTTGACACTCAGGTATGCTTCATTCTCTATGCAGTGTTTCTAATCACGTATCATTTACTGTCTCTCTCTCTCTCTCAATCTCCCATCTGCATGTCCCTTTGTTGAGTTCCATTTCTAAACTATTGATATTACTTCCCAACTTGAGTTGCACTGCATCACACCCTGTCTGGAAAGTGTATATTGTGCTTGCACCTTGGCTTTTTGCTGGCCTTGATTCATTGAAATGGTCTGTCTTGTCAGCCATCCTCGGTTCTTGTGGTACTGGTGAGATATCAAAACAGAGTTTGACTGCATTCATTGGGTTGACTTTTACAGGATCTTGAATCTGATGGGCTGCGAGATCACTTGACTGTTTTTGCTGAATCCTTAAATAAAGCAAGGGCTATGATTTATCCTCCAATAAAGAAATCATCGAAGCTGGGTGAGATTTTACCAGGACTAGGGGAGATTGTTGATAAGGAACACAAGAGACTTCTAGCTCGGAAATCCATCATTGAAAAGAGAAAGGAGGAACAAGAACGTCAACTTTTGGAAATGGTAGTGCCATTTAAACTGCTGCTGCCTCAGTAGATAACTTACGTATTCATCATTCACCAATATCTTCATTTTTCTTACATGAATCTTTTGCTTTCAGGAACGGGAGGAGGAGTCAAGGAGGCTGAAGCAGCAGAAGATTACAGAGGAGGCAGAGCAGAAGAGGCTTGCAGCTGAGTATGAGCAAAGGAACAAACAAAGGATCCTCCGGGAAATTGAGGAGCGTGAACTTGAAGAAGCACAAGCTTTACTTGAGGAACATGAGAAACGCAGTAAAAGGAAAGGAGGAAAGAAGCCGATCTTAGAAGGAGTGAGTTTATACCTTTTGAAATTTACTTTCCAGTATTTTGGGGGCTGTGCTCAATATGACAATTTTATCTCCATGCAGGAAAAAGTGACGAAGCAAATTTTAATGGAAAGGGCTTTGAGTGAGCAGCTCAGAGAGAGGCAGGAAATGGAGAAGAAATTACAGAAATTGGTTAAAACCATGGATTATTTGGAAAGAGCTAAAAGAGAAGAGGCAGCCCCACTGATTGAAGCTGCTTTTCAACAACGATTGGTGGAAGAGAGAGCACTCCATGAACACGAGCAGCAGGTACCTGCTTAATTTTTGGTCATATGTCCATGAAAGGCCGTTTTCCTTCGAGGTCTTTCTATATAAAAATTTAATTCTCTGCCCGTGTCTTTCACATCTTAAATTGCAACTTGCCTAAAAAAATGGTTGTTATTGTGATGTTATTTTCATTCAGTATAGTTTGCTGGGGCAATTTGTTAGGTTGTTACCTTTCTAATTGGTATCTGCATTGCAGCAAGAAATTGAATTGAGCAGACAGCGCCATGATGGGGACCTCAGGGAGAAGAATAGGCTGTCTCGGATGTTGGAGAACAAGGTCAGTATCTAATATCTCTGTGATACCATGTGTCATGGGAAGCTTCTTTATCTGAGGAAATATGAGGATAACTCCTCCAGCCTGGATATTCTGTGCTATGATTCTTGGTTGGTTTTCAACAATTAAAGGAATTCAATTTTTGTTCTCTTGCAGATCATTTTTGAGGAAAGAGGGCAGAGTCGCCGAGAGTCAGAGTTCAACCAAAGGAGAGCCGAGAGGGAAGAAAGGATCAACCAGATTGTTCAAGCTCGGAAACAAGAGAGAGAAGCTTTGAGGAAGAAAATATTCTTTGTGAGGTCTGAAGAGGAGAGACTGAAAAGGCTGCGTGAAGAGGAAGAGGCTCGCAAGCATGAAGGTAGATACCTTATATGCATGAGGACAAATTTTCTCCACTATATACCTGATCCATATTTTATGTTCAATGTGTTTCCCTTTCATCATTTCTCTAGTCTTTTCCCCCTAGTGTTGCTGCTTGCTTTCCTCATTCAACTGTGTATTTACCACGCCTCCTCTATTGGCATATATAAGTCTATGATCAAGACCAGCTCATGCTCTCTGTGTTGGTGTTTTAAAATGCAGAGGCTGAGAGACGCAGGAAAGAAGAAGCTGAACACAAGGCAAAGTTGGATAGGATAGCTGAGAAGCAGAGACAGAGAGAACTTGAACTAGAAGAAAAGGAACGGATAAGGAGGGAAGCTCTCTTGGTTGACGGACCATCGAGGTCTTCTGAGCTTCCTGCTGGTCCAGAGCCTGGGGCGGCTGCTGCACCAGCCCCTGGAAAGTATGTGCCCAGATTCCGGCGAGGGGGAACTGAAGGCTCAGCACAGGCTCCTCCAGAAACTGATAGGTGGGGAGGTGGAAGTAGTAGGCCAGCCCCTCTAGATTCTGACAAGTGGAGCAGTGGCAGTGCCAGGCAGCCCCATTCAGATACAGACCGTTGGGGCAGTGGTGGCAGGCCTGATGATCGCAACCCCCCCAGTGATAGGTGGGGTGGAGGTTCAAAGTCAACTTGGTCATCTAGGCAGCGAGGTCGCTGATAATCCCAATGTCGTCTTTTACATTTTAATGCGGCCATTTTTGTCTGGTGCTTATTTTTGCTGCATTTGGATCTGGGAAACGCTCAAGGAATAATTAGTAGTTAATTATTGTTTCTAATTTAGGAGGCTCGCAGAACCATTTAAGAGTGGCATCCTCGTCTCTGTTTTTTCCACCTTGGTAATGTTGGCAAATGTTTATTGTGTTCACACAATGTCAAACTTTGGAGGAGATTTTTTATTCTTTCCTTTTTACTTCGATTCCTTTTATGTCTTGCTCAGTTGAGATTACGAGTTACCCTCAAATGTCAGGGATTAAAGTGCCTGTGTCGGTGTCTTTTTTCACTGTCTATTCATCCATCTGTTCCAGCAAATCAGTATCATTTAAACGAAATTGTAGCTTGTGAGTAGCATGGTTGTTTTCCTCTTTCCCCACCCTGGTTCCGCACTGCACCCATTTGAATCGAACACGACATTTGCATTTCAGCTGGTGCAATTCGTCCATGCCGAAACATGGCCCATTCCCCAGAAAGTGACTGGCCGTCTCAAGAGACCTATACGCAATTCTACTCCTATTCAATCAAGCCCAGAGCATGTGGTATACTCAAGGTGTTTTCACTGTAGAAGAAGATATAGTTTATTGTTACAGTGAAATTATGTATTTACCCTTGAGTGGGAAAAAATTAGGCTTTGAGGCTGATTTTTCTTTGGTGATTGAAAATTATTTGGGAATGTATGTATTTTTTTATTTTTTAAATAATAAAAATATTCTTAACAAAATTTAAAATTAATTAAGAGCTTTCTTGATTTCTTACAAGTTTTTGAATGATAAAAATATTTTTTTACTCTTAAGATAAAAAATTTATTAATTAATAGGAGTTTTTTTCCCGTTGTTATTGTAAAGTACAAGTATGGATTAGATAAAAAAAATTTGAATTTGGATTTTTTTATACTTTCATACAGATAATTTATGTAATTAATATAGTCATGAAAAGTATTTTAGTGTTTTTATTTTTACTTTTGAATATTTAAATTAGAAAATTGTTGGCGCGTTTTAATAATATGTAAACAAATATATGATATACATGATATTTAAACGACATGTGCAACCCCATCCAGTAATCACATCTAGCGTTCTACCGTCTCTCTAATCATAGCTCGACCGCACTCTAGGTTTTGTTAGATTAATGACATGATGATGCTATTTTAAGATGCCACACTAACTTTTTCAGCTTGTCCTTGCCTTTTTTGATCAACCCAAAGAGTTTTTATCATTTAATATAAAACCACTTCAGGAAATGGCCTACGAAAACTCAAAAGAAGGTAAGTGGGATTTAGTTATTTTATTATATACAGTCTCTTTGACGCATGTCCACCAAAGAATTCATTTGATAATCATCACAAATCTAGAATGTAATCAGATGAGATTATGGAAGCAAGACCAGACTGTTGTCTACCTTGGTGTGCACACATTTGCGCGATTTTGAGTAACATATTCAAAGTTTAAGTTCATCATTTGTTATCCTGGATTATTCTGTGTTGGGTTATGAGATTTATGGTGTGATGCAGATTTCATGGCCCCTGTTACTGCATTTTAATGCCCGGTTATTTATACTTTGCACTGAAGGTTTTAGAATTTCTTGACAAGTGAACACATGTCCTTGTAGTCATTAAGTGCAGCTGTTTCATCGAAGCAACAAGTTTGCTTTCTATTTGCTGAACTTTTCAATTTTGGATGCTGTGAGTCGCCTGTTGATTAATCCCCATTTCCTGGTAAGTTAGGCCAATCTGATGATTGAATGAGCTGACGTATCAGGTGGGTTATATGCTGTCTCATATTCTTTAGGTTGGTGTTTTTACTTCAGCTAATCAGCTTCAAAGTTCATGGAGGTGATATAAACTTGATGACTATTTAATTGTCTTTATTTAGGAAGGTGGCAGAGAATCTGCCATGTGCAAGTCCCAGATTGCATGATACTCACCAAGGGACACCGCACTTATATCAGAAATCATTATTGTTTTCGTTTCCAATATCTTGCGAGAATATTTTATTTAGCAGTAGTTAATTGGCTTTATGGCTTGAAGAGTTACACACGGGTGTGCATGTTTATATAAGGCAAATAGTTGTTAGGCTCCTTGCTTCATCTAGTATTTTCTCCTGTTCTGAACACTAGAGTGAAGATGATGTTCGTGATAATCGTTTTGCTCACTTTACTATCCCATGTGCCAGCCCTTGATGTTTGCCCTAAATGTGGCAACATGGAAGTCCCTTACCCACTTAGCACAAGTGATAATTGTGGAAACCCTAGGTACAGAATCTATTGCAACAGTGGTGCTCTGGAGTTCTCGTCAGCTCAAGGGTTTTACTACAGGATTCTTAGCATCAACCCTAGTGCTCGTAAGCTTGTCATTAGGCCTCCCCTAATAGTGAAGAACACATGTTGTTCCTCTGATCTTTCCCT